ACCAAAAAACAACCCCCCAAGACCCCTCACAGCACAGAAACATACACCCCAGCCCAAAACCACACTGCAAAAACACCCAGAACAGTTTTTAAAAGCAGAAAACAGCACCTTACCTTACCAGGCAGTCCCAAGCCTCCCTGCAAACACACAAATGCTCACTCAGAAGCAGAAGCCAGGTAGTACCAAGCCTCCTCCAATGCACACTCTTTAACCGTGGGGACGAAGGAGCTACAAAGAAGCAGCCTCATCGCCACCTACAGTTAGAAATTTGAATTCCCCACCTTTTTCTGTTCATAAGTGGAAGCTCCAGTCGCAAGTAGAAGCAAAATTTTGCAGCCGGAACTGGTCATAACTCGAAATGGTCATAAGTAGGGATGTTGGTAAGTGGAGGCACCACTGTATTCAATAAGAAAATTTCTGGTATCAAAGCAATTTTAAACCCTAAAATTTTCTCTATTTCATGAATCATTTTCCAAAAGTTTTTGGCCCTCCTGCACATCCACGACATAGGACAGAAGCTCCTTACTTTCTTTTCACATTTCCAACACTTATTAGAAACATTTTATACATTTTTGTTAATTTCTCTGGTGTTACATACCATCTGTAAAACATTTTGTATATATTTTCTTTTAGACTTATAAATTTAGTCATTTTAGTATTTCGTTCCCAGATTTGTGACCAGGCACTTATTTCTATATTATGACCTATATTTTAAGCCCATTTTACCATACAGTCCTTCACTATTTAATCTTCCATGTTTTGCTCCATTAAAGTATTATATAAACCTTTAATCAATTTTTCCTGAGTCCAGCAACCACTTATCCAGAGGTATTTTGTCTTTCTGAAACCCTGTAGCTTTATCTTTTATATATCTTGATTTGAACAAGTTTATCGATCACCAATCTAAGATAATACCTTGTTCTGCCAGTTTCTTTGTTCTTTAAATTAAAATCACTGTCTAATATCTCAGCATATCTCTCGTTTGTCCCTTGAGTTGTTCTTGCCGGATCAGAGAACGCTTCTAATGGAACTACACATAATGGTATCTTTCTATAATGTTGTGCCTTAACCGTCTTCCAAACCCATAACTAAGCTCTCCTGATCAAATGTAAATTAAATGTTTTGCATTGCTTATCATCTTGGTACCATAGGTAGGCATGCCAGCCTAGCCTTAAAATCATGCCCCTCAATTTTTAAGACTCCCATTTTGCAGAATAACCCATTCCCTCACCCAGGACAGAGCTGCTGCTCTGTAATAATTCATCCAATCTGGTAGGCCAAACTGTCGATCTTTCTTTATTGTCCTGAAGAACCTTAAGTTTTATTCTTGTTTTTTTTTTTCCATCCCAAACTTGGTCATTAACATATTCAGTTCTTTTTTAAAAATCTTGTTTTAATAATAATAGAATTGTCTGAAAGAGGAAACCCAGCTTTGGTAATATATTCATTTTTATTGTTAGAAACAGTCTTGGGAAAAGCCCTTCCTCCTGTCAGCCTTTCGCCCCAAGCTACTGCAGTGGTGCCTTGACTTATGACCATAATGCTTTCCAGAAGATGGATGTAACTCGAAATGGTAAGTCAAAGCACTGCTTCCCATTGAAATGCATTGGAACGCGATTAATCTGTTCCGCCCCCCCCAAAAAAAGCACACAGCAGCCCCATCGGAAGGCACTGGGGCTTTAAAAACAAACAAACCAAAAATTAATCACACAGCAGTCCCATCAGAAGGCGCTGGGGCTTAAAAAAAACAAAAACAAAAATAAAGCACACAGCAGCCCCATCAGAAGGCGCTGGGGCTGTAAAAAAAAAACAAAAAACAAAGAAACCAAAACTAAAGCACACAGCAGCACCGTTGGAAGGCACTGGGGCTTTAAAAAAATGCATGCAGTTGCCTATCAGAAAGCACTGGGACTTTAAAAAAAACAAACAGAACCAAAAATAAAGTGCACAGTAGCTCCATCAGAAGGCACTGGGGCTTTTAAAAAAAAACTGAAAAGAAAGCACACAGCAGCCCCATCAGAAGGCTCTGGGCCTTTTAAAAAATAGCCAAAAATAAACAGCACAGCAAGCCCCATTGGAAGGCATTGGGGCTGAAAAAGTAAACACACCAAAACACACAAAAAAATCCCAGCAGAGAAATGTCCCCCCCAGCCCAAACCCACCCTGCAAAATCCTGTAAATGTACTTACTCAGAACCACTTTCTGCCATCAGAGTGGTATTATCTCTATATCTGAGGTTGTTATTTCTTCTGGCAATCTTAATTCCAGTTTGGGATTCATCTAGTCCAGCCTTTTGCATGATGTATTCTGCATATAGGTTAAATAAGCAGGGAGACAATATACAGCCTTGTTGTACTCCTTTCCCAATTTTGAACTGGAGTTGTTCCATCTCCAGTTCTAACTGTTGCTTCCTGTCCCACGTATAGATTTCTCAGGAGGTAGATAAGGTGGTCAGGCACTCCCATTTCTTTAAGGACTTGCCATAGTTTGCTGTGGTCCACACAGTCAAAGGGTTTTGTGTAGTCAGTGAAGCAGAAGTAGATGTTTTTCTGGAACTCTGGCTTTCTCCCTAATCCACTGCATGTTAGCAATTTGGTCTCCAGTTCCTCTGCCCCTTCGAAATCCAGCTTGTACTTCTGGGAATTCTCGGTCCACATACTGCTGAAGCCTTCCTTGTAGTATTTTGAGCATAACCTTGCTAGCATGTGAAATGAGTGCAATTGTACGGTAGTTGGGAGCGTTTTTTGGCACTGCCATTCTTCGGGATTGGGATGTAGACTGATCTTTTCCAATCCTCTGGCCACTGCTGAGTTTTCCAAGCTTGCTGGCATATTGAGTGTAGCACCTTAATAGTGTCATCTTTTAAGTTTTTAAATAGTTCAACTGGAATGCCATCACCTCCACTGGTGTTGTTAGCCATGCTTTCTAAGGCCCACTTGACTTCACTTTCCAGTATGTCTGGCTCATGGTCAGCGACCACACTATCTGGGGTGTCCGGGACATCCAGGTCCTTCTGGTATAATTCCTCTGTGTATTCTTGCCACCTCTTCTTGATGTCTTCTGCTTCTGTCAAGTCCCTACCATTTTTGTCCTTTATCATGTCCATCTTTGCACAAAATGTTTCTTTAATATCTCCAATTTTCTTGAACAGATCTCTGGTTTTTCCCTATTATTTTCCTTTATATCTTTGCACTGTTGTAAGGCCTCATTGGACAGCCACATTGCTTTCTCGCAGTTCCTTTTCTTTGGGATGGTTTTTGTTGCTGCTTCCTGTACAATGTTACGGGCATCCATCCATAATTCTACTCATTAGACATTTTTAAATTTAAATTGTGATTTAAATCAATTTGATTTTTTTTTAAAAAAACATTGATTAGCCTTCTGATGGCTCCTCTATCTGTTTTCTGTGATTGCAGTACAGGGAAATGATTCTGTTGTGTAACACAGGAGTCCCCAACACCTGGTCTGTAGGCCAGTGCTGGTCTGTGGACTTCCCGGAACTGGGTTGCGGAGATGGATCTCCACCCCCACACACTGCCTCTTGCACTTGCAGAGGGGCGTGTCGTGCAAGCGTGACACACCCACGATCACAGGGGTGCCCCCACACACAGAGCCCACAATCCTCCAACCAGTCTCTGGTCCCAAAAAGGTTGAGGACCGCTGGTGTAACACACTTTACTTCTTCATATGATACTTCTTTTGCTTCCTAAGCAAATGTTTCTTTTAGAAATATTCACACATATACTGGGCACTTACCCTTCTCCATTTATTCTTCTTGAATAGAACTGACCAAACCATCTATGTTTTTCGTTTTGTTTATTCACATAATTAGCAGCACGGACTAGAAAGTTATTACTGCGCTATAGGCTAAATCTAGCATTACTCTACCTATAACAGATCATCAAAATTAATAGGATTTATATTAGTTGTGACACAAAAAGTTCTATACATTTTAATAAGACTAGTTTACATATCATTAATGTGGAATCTAGTCCCTTTTTATATGCATTTAATTTTATTGCCTTTTCTCTAATTGTAACAGGTTACAAAGTACCTTGTCGTTATGTGCTGTCAATAAGAACTAATAGCAACCCTAAAAGGGTTTTAAAGGTAAATGAGATATTTAAGCAGTGGTTTTTACCAGTTCCACTCCCCAGCAAGTTCCCATGGCAGATGCAGGGAAATGAACTCAAGTCTCCTGGGTCCTTGTCCACTGTATCACACTAGAAGGATTAGGGACACACACAAGAAAGATCACTAGGTGACAATGGGTGAAGAAGGACTGCAAAAGTGGGATTATCCCTCACCCCCAGTCCTCTGTCCTTCTAACGAGCCTATTCAGACCAGGAGGAAGTGAAACCAAAAGACAAGATATATCAGGGATCTCCTACCAACTCTCCTCTGACTGAAGAAGCTGCTTGGATGAGTAGTGAAATGTTTCAACCTAACAAGAAAGAAGTCCAGTTGCCATGACTCAGCTTCCAGATAACCACACCTGGATGACTGAGAATCTTCACAGATTATACTACCACACTAGGTATGCACAAAGTACGAAGTAAGCACAATTCTTCACACGTTACAATGACCAAAATTCATTTGCGTAATATACACTAATGTAGGGGAAATGATGCCACTGTAGTGGCAGATTACTGCAAATTAGAGTTCCTCCTGTGATTGTGCACAGTTTGGATGGCTTTGTGTGTGACCCAGAATCCAAGCAGGGTCTCTTCATTGCTGGAGCTAATTAGAGAGCTACACTTACACTCTGGGTCACTTATGATTAGCATATTACCAGAAACTGAAATGGCAGCAATCCGCCACTGCAGTGACATCATTTCCCCTATATTAGAGTAAATTAGACAAGAATAATCCCCAAATTTGCTGAGATTCACTCCTGGTTAATTACATATGGCATTGTGACCTTCATCATTTTGGTCCTCTGATCTCCAGTGCATATTATCTGAGGCAACATACACAGATGTCAATATACAGTTTATATATGTTGATGTGATTATTAATAAACTCTTAATAATGTGAAGATCTTTCTTACCAGTTACAAGACACCATGGATTCTCAACCACAATAGAGCATGTGATTTCTGAGCCACAATATATAATTTCTGTAACATGTTGTTCTCTATTGACTCCCTTCTTTACAACACATTAATTCAACATGATAAATAACTTCTTTCGAAGTTGCTTTGTAATGTTACTGTCTATACATTTCTAGAATTTATGTATTTGTAGAAATGAACAAATAATCACAGGGAACATTTATTCAGTCTTACCGTATCCTGCCATTGCAACTCCATTTCCACCATTCATTATATTTTTGTTTTCTTCTGCCAGTGCTCTAACGTATCTTTTACTTAGGTCAAGTATTTGTTCACGCAACTCAGCACTGCTCTGTTGCCTTGGATGCTGAAAGGTGTAGCGCAGTAACATTATGCCCCAAATAAAACCAAACACCAGCAACAGTAAACTCAATTTTTGGGACACATTTTTTCTTGAAAATGCAAAAAACATTTCTGAACAGACCAAAGATGTCAACATAAGGTATTAAGGCTGAAGTCACAGTATTTTCATCATAGTTTTTCCTAATCTTCACAACTTAGTTGCTCTTCTGGGAAGATCATTTGGTACACTTTTTCCAGTGGATGTACTTGATTCCTGCAATATTTTTAAAATAAGTGTTATTAGTCAAAATACATTTTGCAATTAAATTTTGGTACAAAACTAAAAGAACTTTTATGATGTGTTTGGGTAGAATATACTATATAACAAAAGAACAGGCCAAAGGTTTAAGATAAACTCCTAGGACCACATGAATACTCAAAATACAACTGCATGGGCATCAAACAAAAACATTTTGAAGAATCAAAGGCTATAAGATACAGTTTAAGAAGGCTGTGACTTTAGCTGCCTGATTTGATCAATAAACTAAAAGTCTAAACATGCATTTATTCTCCAATTAGTATGTAATTTAACTTTAATTTCATCAGTCCGATGTATTAATTATCAGGATAAGTGGCAATAACTTTCCCTCATTTGACAACCATTTAGAAGATGGAGAAACTTCTGAGGAAAGAAAGAATGATAAATGCTTACTGAGGCAAAGGGCTGCTAAAATTTAAATATAAAAGATGAAATACTAATAGACAAAATAAGTCAAACATAATTTTATGGCCTTTTTTGTATCAAAAGCATCAAGTTGCTTATAGATAAATTTTTAATTATAGTAAGAACATAAAAATGGGGACATGGTGGCGCTGCGGGCTAAACCGCAGAAGCCTTTGTGTGCTGCAGGGTCAGAAGACCAGCAATTGTAAGATGGAATCCACGCGACAGAGTGAGCTCCCATCGCTTTGTCCTAGCTCCTCGCCAACCTAGCAGTACGAAAGCATGTAAATGCGAGTAGATAAGTAGGTACCACCTCGGTGGGCAGGTCAACAGCGTTCCGTGTATAGCCGCGCTGGCCACGTGACAACGGAAACTGTCTTCGGACAAACGCTGCCTCTACGGCTTGGAAACGGGGATCAGCACCGCACCCTAGAGTCGAACATGACTGACTAAAAGAATGTCAAGGGGAACCTTTACCTAAGAACATAAAAAGTACCTGGCTGCAGAGCCAGAGGTTGAAAGTTCGAATCCCCAGGTGCTTCTTGGGAGAAGAACCAGTTTGTGTGGCCTTGGGCAAGCAGCAGTCCCAGGGTGCCCCAGAAGAATACATTTCTGCGTATTCCCTGCCTAGAAAATCCTTTAAAGGATTTTGAATGAACTTGATGGCATGCAATTATTATTATTGAGAACAGGAAAAAAAATTAAAGCCAGTAATGCATGTGAGGTGCCTAATTAAGCTCCTCCAACACAGGCTAAAACTCCACTTCTGTTCAACAGCAAATACTTAATACAGTACCTGGAATTCATGGCCTTACATATACTGTTGGACTGCAACGCCCATCAACCCAAGCCAGCAAAAACAATAATGAGGAATGGTGGGAGTCCCGGTGCAACAACACAAGGGCCACAATTCGCCCAGGCATTTGATGGCCATAAGACAACATTTACGTTGTGGTACTACCATCATTGTTATTATAGAAAAGTATATAAAGAAAGCGTTCTGTGGAACGCTGAAGCTTGTGCCTGTATACCGTGTTAAAATGTTTGTTACAGGAAAGCAAAACAAACGAATTATGCGGGAAAGGGCAAGCCACGCCGAGGAAGTATTTAAGAAAAAGCCAAGTCCAGTATTCTTTTCGCAGCTGTTAACTCGGAAGAGGCCTAAAGCAAATAAGGGAAAACAGAGATGGAAGGTCTGGTCTCTGATTTCACGAAACTATTGAGGCTGTTAGGAAGGAAAGCAAGCAACTGCGATTCCTCTACAATTGAAACGACATATATTGTGGGGCTTTCTCAAAACACATAACTCAGTAATATATGTGAGAAAACAAACATACGGACAGTTACACATCTACCTAAACCATACCTTACAAACACAGCCGCTTAACATCGCAGGGGCCCAAGAGGGCCGTTGGCTCTCCACCAGCATCTCTTGCTCCGCAAAGCCTTAAGCCACCCCCAAAGGCAAACTCCTCCGCCCTTCCGGCCCCTCAATCTCCTCCGCCTCTCCCAGATCACACGCTCTCCAATCCTAAATGGAGCCACCATGCAACTGCACACGCTCGGCCAAGCGCTCTGACAGCACACACAACAAACTCCCCCAGTGTACTGTAGTTCCGCCTCTTCCACGCCAGAACCTCCTTACTGCGCTGTTCATAGAGGAAGACCCGAGCAATCGCGTTGCAAACAGACTTCACTTCCGGTTACCAGTGGGATGACGGAGAAATCGCCATATGAGGGCAAAAGCAATGAATATTGCCGAGCTACGCGTTCCTGGTCTTCAGTTTCCGTCTCTGCCTTGTACCCAATTCCCGGTGTTCGATAATTTTAAAAGGCCAAGGACTCGTCGTGAAAAAACAACAACAACAAAGGCATTTTTTAAAGTATTAGGTTTTATTTGGCATCAGCTTTCCTATTCCATCAGCTGCACTCCACCAAATCTTATACCAAATAAAATTTGCTAATGTAGTTTTTAAGGTGCCCTAGGAATTTGAATTGGCTTTTTAACCCTTATGAAAAGTCTGCTATAGATGGAAACACTTTTCTGGCCGTCTCCTGTAATCTCTGATGGGTCAAGCTTTTATACATTGTGAGGAAAAAGCATTTTTCACTTCCTTCGTGGCAGTTGATTCTTCATATGTTACATGACGGAACCATGATATCAAAAAGCTTTGTTAGATAAATTAATCCGTACATATGATATGTAGTCATTATCATAACTGCCATTAGCGGCTCTAGTTTTCTCCATGGATGTAGCCTTTAAAGCCATTGAAGTTGGTGGCCCTCAGTTCTTGAGGCAGTAAATACTACAGTTTGACTATGTGGTGGGTGAAGAACCTGTTTTTATCTTTATTGAAACTCACCATTCAGCTTGAGTGGATGACCCTAGGATCCAGTATTAGGAGAGACAAAAAGCTAACTGATGTTTGGTTTTTTTTAAATAATCTGTTAAATACATCCTTGGCTTCAGAAGAAGAAAAGGTTCTCCTTATCTAATACTGTATCTCATCACCCACACATAACTTACTTTCTACAGCTCCCTATGTCACGTTTTGTTCATCTTTTTTACACAGAGCATCCACAAAGGAAAGCTTTCTTTCTGAAGGAATGCCTCAATTCTCTTGATAATTTTGGTTGCCCTTTTCTGGACTTTTGACAGCTCTACAATATTCTTTTTCAAGTGTGGCAATCTAACCTTTACAAATGTGGCCGTACCATGGTATTGTATAAGAACAGTATGATATTGGCATTTTTATGTTCATTATGTGCAACATGACCTTGGACTTTTTACAGCTGCAGCCACAGAGTTGACACCAATTTTTTGTTAGCTATGTACTGCAATCTTAAACTACAGTGAGATATTGAACACTGCTCCTTTGGGTTTAGCATATCACAAGCTACTTTTTAAATTCTCTCCAATTGTAAGACCCAGTCTAAATATTTTTATCTCAAAGGGGGAAATATCCTAATCATGGTATTAGATAAATCAATGTTTAATTTGAGGCATATACAATTTTTTTTCAGCTAAGTGGTTGAACTGTGTTTCAAAATTTCATGCCAAGAAAGAACTGGAAATAAGGAGAATGTGTCTTGCTGCCATTTTTTTGGCTCCCTTTTTTGCTCCCTTTAAAAAAAAATCTTAGAACGTTTTTGCTTCCTCAGTTTCTCATCATCACAATATAAGTATACACTAGCATAAACCAAAACATGTTTTTAGAGACATTTTAAAAGACATTTAAAAAAAACTTTTTTTTTGATAAGAGAAACTAGAAATCTGGTAGCACCTGAACTACCTTTTGTTTATCATAAGTTTTCGGGTGTCCAAGTTTATTTCTTTCAGACTTTCGTCTGAAGAAGTGTGCTTGGACACCTGAAAGCTTTTTTTAAAAAATAAAACCTAGTGAGTCTCAATGGTGCTACAAGACTTCCGGTTTCCATTGTGTTATAACAGTATCTACGCGACACAAAACAATAAACAAATAAGGAAAGGCATGTATTAGCAACTGCAACTATGGCAGTGCCCGCCGACCAATAGGGAAAAGAAACAGCATTGCGCTTGCGCCAATCACGTTTCCCGCTACATAGCTTCTTGTGACCGCCTGCCTTTCCATTGTGGCCTATGAAGGTGTGGTGCCCTGTAGCCACGCCCCTCGCGCAGTGTCGGGCGCAGACCTCTCTCGCGGAGGCGCCATTTTGCGCTGCTGTAGGTGCAGGCTTGTCTGCAGGAGGAGAGCTAGTTTCCTCGAGGTAGTTCCGAGAGAAGTTCGGGGCTAAGTGCTCCTTGCCTAGAGTCTCGTTCGTTTTATCCCCCTGCCGCGTTAGAAACGCGTGAACATGAGCGACGTGGAAGAGAATAACTTTGAGGGAAGGGTGAGTAGTGAGGTGTTCTATCCGGGCCGAGGTATCGGAGGCCTGGCCTGGTCCTGAGGGCATGAAGTGGGTGAAACGGGCTTCCCAGCCGGGCGATAAAAAAAGAAAAAGAAAAGCGGAGTCATACAGGAAATGGGTTCGCTGTTCCTGGTCAAAATGGCTCCTTCACCTGAAGTGCCCGCGCCGCGTCCTGCCTGCAGGAGCCATTCCTTCAATTTCAGTTCGGGGCTCGGCCCTTTCCTTCCCTTCACCTTGCTTGCCATACGAGGCTCCACCTGATTAAAATGCTGTAGTCCTCGATTCCAGCTGTGGCTGTCTCTCCATGCCCCTTAGTGGGTTGGAATTATTAAGAAGCCCCCTCCCGCCTTCTCGCCCATAGCACAGGTTCCTCCCCCCCCCGGCCCATTTCGTGGTTCTGAACTTGTCTTATCCTCGATCACTTCATGCCTCTTTCAATTTTATTTTTATTTCTTTAAAAAAAGTTCGTTTCCCCCACCTCCGGTATGGGTTGAAGTCGCAAGTGTGTGTTGGGTTGGAAAGAAGGGTTCCTGCAATACCTGTGCAGATCGGGAAACTAGGCGGGCAGGCGAAGAAGCGCCCTTTTGGTGCCAAGCGTCAGAGGTCGGTATCCAAAGGATCTGAAAATTGGCGCTAGGTTATCTCTGGAAATGAAAGGTCCTGGGACTTCAAGCACGGCTAGTTTGTGTGAGAGATGACAGCTGAATTTTTCTTTGCTGGTCTTTGTAGTTAAGTAACAGTGCAATATTAGATACATGAACTTTTTGCCACAGTTCTAACCAATAGTTCTGTGTGCCTTTTCTGTGCTGTCTTGACCCTTTATTAGTTTTTTAAATTAAGTTTTGCAGGAATTCCATAGATGTTATTCATACAAGTGCTATCTAAAGGAGAACTGTAACTTCTCAGATGAATCGCTGGCAGAATGTTTTTAAATAGTATTGGAAGTGCTGCCTGGCAAAAGTGTATTATATCTGCTGCACTCAAGAGTGTCTGTATGTGTGCTTGTTTAGTGTTTTGGCCATTCCAGTGCTGTAAAACAAAGTAACTATATCTCCCCATTGCTATTATGAATACAAAACTATGAAAAAGATCTGCTTTCCTTCAAAATACATGATAGTTCACAACCTGCATTTTTTTTCCCTGCAGATCTAAGAAGTAGCTAGATATATCTGTAACAGCAGAGGAAACTCAATAATTTTTGAATGAAATATCATTCTTTGAGCCTCAGTATTAGGATTTATTCTGGGCCTGTGCTGCTTGTGTATTTATGTGCTTGTTGCATTTATCCCTAAAACAAAGCCTGTGAAAGAAATTCCACAGAACTCTGGAGCTAGGTATTATATCATGTCGTGCTGTGTTCCTTATCTGTGAGTCCAGGAACAGCTGTCTCAGTGCTGAAACACTGTCTGGAAGGAATGGACAAGTGAATGAGGTGAAATAATCTGAAGCTGAAGCCAAACAAGACTGAGGTGGTGTTGATGGGTAATCCTGGAGGGTTGGAAGTAGTTATGCCTATTTCAATGTCATGTTTTCCATATCTCAGCAGGTTTAGCTCTTGGGTGCTGCTGATTTCTGTTTTGTTTCTGGATAAAGAGGTAGTGATGATACCCAGGAACACTTTTTACCAGCATACAGTAACTCTACATTATATTCCTCTACCTAATTTTAAAGCAAGCAGGCAGATGCTGCACTGGCTGCCTGTGAACTTTGCAGCCCAAATCAAGATGTTGCTCCCTGCCTTTAGAGCCATTCATGGCCCAGGTCCAACACATCTTAATGACTGCCTGTGCCTGTATATACCCATATTCCAGCTGTGGTCACCAGGTTAAGACTGCTCCTATTATGAAATGATATTTAGCAGCTAAAACCGGAGTTTTCGCCATTAATTTATTTTATTTTTATTTGTTTATTGTATTTATACCCCGCCTATCTAGTCATTTCGACCACTAGTCATTCACCAGAATGCTGACATGGGCTCCTTAGGGTAGAAATTAATGATTGTTAGACATTTTATAGAGGATGTAAATGTCATCTGTTTCTTCTGACAGTTAACAGCTAAGATTGGAAATAACTATATTGATGGGCCATGGCTTTTTTTGCATTTTTTTAAAAATTACATTTTATATGGCCTTAAATATTCTGATTTTACATGAACTTCAGCTGAACTTGGCAGAAAGAGTATTTAAACATCTAAATTGAATAGTTTTAAATACATCCTGGATAAATACCTTTAATGTAGATAAAACATGAGAAAACAGCGTGTGCAGTTTTGTAGCTTTGAACAGGGACAAAAAGGGACAAAGTATATAGCATCAGTTCTGAGGAAACAGGGAAAAGGATGAGATATGAAACTAGACACATTTTCTTAGAGACTGGTGCAGTTGCAATTTATCTGTAGCCAATTCATTCACTGAATTTAGAATATACACATAACATTAAACTGAAATGGGTTACTCCATCAGAAGTAGTGTTATGCTGTAGAGTGCTATATGGCTATTTGGTCTGAATAGATAAGTTGCACCTCTTCAGTTCTATGCTTTGAGACTGAAGTTGGGTTGTTGATCAAGTCAAAATATTAGGCTAGTTTTGATAAAGAGTTCTATAGCTTGCAAATGAACCCACAGAATTTTAGCTTATCTCTTCATATAAAAAGCAGCTTAGACAGCTCCCTTGTCATTTGGGTTTCTGTCAAGATCCAAGGGTATCGCAAGAACCTTCTCTACTCCCCTGTTGTGAAGTTTTAATCATTCAGTAGATTGTGCTAAGTAATTTATTTACTCTTACATCAATAATATTAATAAATTGACTGTTACAAAGAATTTCTCACTTGAGAAAGATTATTGTTCTTTTTATTGAGATATATCAAGAGCAAATGATTTGTACATTTATTTGGTTGGGAGTGTTAGTATATAACAGTACAAACTCCTTTTTGTTAGAACACAGTCTTGAAAACTCAATAACTACAGAATTTGCCAATTCTTGTTCAGTAATTTCTTACAGTATAGTTAAGACTGCAATTCTATACATACATACCTGTACATGAGCTCAGTGGGAAAGAATTCTGAACTCAAATATGCTAAGTGTCCAAGCTAAGCAGAGGTCACAGGTCTTTGGACAAAAATACTTACTGCTTCTTCCAAGCTTTCTTTATTTCAAATGGTTTTACGCAAATTACCCACAGATCTTCCGGTAGCTTGAGATTGATCTTCTGCACCCTCCCCATACATACACAAAGAGAGAGAGTGTGTGTCTAAGGTTGTGCAAATGGTTACTTGAGTGTGATTCGTAGTTGTTTATAGTGATGAGAAGGCTGCGTTGGTAAAATTATTAACATAAACAGATTACAGTATCTCCTTGAGAATTTAATATGGTGTTCCCTGTGCTTTGATGTGCAGGAAGGGCCTGGAGAAATGTTGGCTGAAAGGCCATTGCCCTTGATTCTTAGGAAAAAGTATTCTGACTATAATATTAGAAATATTTTTAGGGAACAGAAATGAAAGGTGTTCAGCAAGGAGCTGACTAGGTAATGTCTTGTGGCAGCTTAGAATTGGTTTAATTTGGTGAATAAATTATTTGAACAATATGTGATTCTGTGTTGTAAGGATCTATCTGATGGGCCATTATTAATGGACTATATTTTTGCAGCCACAGCCATCATGGCTACTGATAAGGGATTATGAGAGTTGTAATCCAAGACATCTGAAGGGCTAAAGATTCCCTACCCCTAGTAAAAAAAAAATAAAGCAAAACGTGCTGCTTGTATACCGCACCATAGTGCTTCAAGCACTCTCTGGGCGGTTTACAAGTTAATTATGCAGGCTACACATTGCCCCCCCCCCCCAATGAGCTGGGTACTCATTTCACCAACCTCGGAAAGATAGAAGGCTGAGTCAACCTTGAGTGGGCTACCTGGGATTGAACCCCGGGTCGTGAGCACAGTTTTGGCTGCAGTACAGCAGTTTAACCACTGTGCCACAAGGCTCTTGTGTGGACCACCACTCTATCTTTCTCAAGAAGGCTATGATTTTATCAAGTAACATTGTCTTGTTTTGTAAACTGATCTACACTACATGGTAAATTTTTGGTTAACTGCAGGAAAATAATTTGGTCACTTCTGCTTTTCAAATTTCCATGTTAAGGCTGCTAATTTGCACGTAAATCTGTTGAGTATATTTTTGAACATTGGTAATTTCCATTTTTCAGTATAAGAGTATGAATGAAAAAGGTCTAAAGTGGGACAATAAAATATAGGTATTTGATACCGGAATGAGAAACTCAATAATTTGAACTGTAAACTGAAATCGCATTTGATAAAATTAATATGATAAACTACTGTTCTTGATTGAAAGAGGGACAAAAGTAGAAGCGAGTGCAACAAAGTTTGCTTTGAGAATTAGACAGAAAAAATGTATTTTTATATATTTTATTAAATGTTTACTCTTGAAATTTAAATAATGAATATTCAGTCTTATTAACATCTGACTCTTTGTTGAAATTAATTTGAGGCTAAATCTTGATCCATGGTTTTGTTTACTTTTCCTAATTATGCTATTTCAATGTGAAAATGCAAATACCACACCTAGCCTGGATAAAGTTCAGAATAACTGTCCTAGTTCTGTGGCTGACTTCAAGTATACAGCACTACTAAATTTGAATTTATATCTGTTACTGAAAAATAACCTTACCCTGAGTTTGCCTCATGTTATATACATTTTAATTTTATGCAAGAGAAAAATTTGCATACCGGAACCTTCAGATCAAATTTAGCATTTTTGGCCAGGATCCAAAGAACTGCATTTAGTTCTGCATGCTCAAATCAGGCTTTGGTCTTGTCTTTTTTGATCTATATCCCTCATAAACCCCTTGTGAGCTCCTATGGTAAATTGTAGATTTAAAAGGAATTTTTTATGGGGCATTGGACCACACCATTAAAAAGGGGGAAATCAGACATGACATAGGGAATCCCTCTGTGTGCCTAATGTAGGTCTTTGAATCTTGGCCTGTACATTTATTTTGTTTTTTACATCAGGCAATTTGTTAGCACAGAACTCTTAAACACACTTGAATGTGCATATCTATATTCTACAGACTTGACAAGATAGTATTGTTAGGAAAAGGGAGCAGAATAGATATAGAATGTTTGGGAAATGCTGTGAGGAAGTCAGTGGATTAATTATTGGAGTCTCTTTGAGTACACCAGTTAAACATTTTTTTAAAATGCTTTTATAAACTAGTTATTTGCAGTTCACCTGCTGGTTATTCCATTTTGGTAGATAAAATTCTGAAATTCCAGCAGAGTTTTATAATCCCCACATGCTTAAATATACTAAATGTTCTTTTTCCATTAAGGTTAATGTTCGTGAAGAAATGGAAGAGTTTTTTCCAAGAATGTGGAAGATAAATCAAGATAAAAGAAGGCTAATGAAAAGTGTTAAAGATCAGAAAATTAAAATTGAATGGGGGAAAAATTGAACAGAAGATTGGTCAGATAGAAGCACTTGAATATTTTTAAGGCTATAATGAATTGTTTGAATTGGGGAAGAATACACGAAGTATGAAAAATGAAAAACTGAATGAAGAATGAAGAAAAGTAGAAAGCAAGAGTGAAGTAGAATTAAAAGAATCTGGAAGAATGAATGGGTCCTAGGTTAAGTAAATGTATGGTTTATGTTCCAGTGTCTGTATGATCAAGTTGTAGATGAATTTGCATGATTACTTAGTTAATAGAGTATTGGTCATCTGGTTCAAGCAGGGAACTATTTGAGGAAATCTTACCATATTAACAGTGGGTTAAAGAGTCTTATTCTGGAGGGTATTGCCTAACCATTTGTTTTCCAGGCACAATCAATAAAATAGAATTACTTTTAAAATAAGAAGGTAGGCATTTGTGGAACCAGTACCATTTGTAATACTGTTTTTTTTGTTAGGAATCACGCTCCCAGTCAAAATCTCCAGCAGGGAGCCCTGCTCGTGTAAAATCTGAGAGCAGGTCAGGATCCCGTAGCCCATCAAGAGCTTCTAAGCATTCTGAATCACGCTCTCGATCAAGATCAAAATCCAGGTATTTATGTGTGAGATGTTTGAAATTAAATTGAGCAATTTTTTTTTCTTTGTGTATGATTGATTTGTTGATTGAGCCTTCAGGTTTGAAATGCTTGTGGAAGAGAGATTTATTTGGAAACTGATAATTTTTAACACTGTCCTTTGAAGAATTGTGTTACTATTTTTCTGAAGACTTAAACAGTTACTCAGAATACCAGTAACAACAATTGTGGTGATGCCACAGTGGTGGGCAACATGCAGCCCTTCACTCCAAGGATATTTTTTTAAAAAGTTTAAAGAGCACTTAGAAAATCTCTCTTTGCCCTTTAGAGGATGTAGCATTACTTCTATCATGTTTTGAGGGACTCTTGAGTACCCTAGAATTCTCCATCACTCTATTTTAAAAAAATAGAACATTTTGGCTTCTAGAATACACAAAGGGGCTTTTTTATTTAAAAAATACTTTGTAAGAGGGGGGTAGGGCCCTCAAAGGCCCAAGGATGGTTGTGTGCAACCCATGGATCTCTGATCCCATCCTTATGTCATTGTGACTACGTTAGAGCCCCAGTGAGATTACAACATTACAATGATAATGAAATTGTTTTCTGAAATTTTTGAACAGTTGTGTATATGTTAAGTCTGTATCTGAGAAATAGTGAATATGAGCAGGCAGTGTTGTACTGTAGTCTGATTACTTTTCACTATTTAATATGCTTCTTAGGACCAATGGGATTTTCAGTCCAGCAATATCAGAAGCAGATCTTCACTTTTGCTTTAGCAAGTGCACTGTAATTCAGAACTGTGTACAAACATATATGTTTTAGCAAATCAAGTTTTTCCACCACAGAAAGATTCTGCAAATGATTCCCATGGCATAGGAGAAAACGTGATGGCTTAATGCTCTTGTGGTTTTATAAAATTTATTGTTTCAAACATATAGATGTTGAAGATCAGATAAGTGCATATGTGCACAGATGTTTGTGTATAACTGAAATTATATTTCTAATTCAAAGGTCCAGGTCAAGAAGGCATTCTCACAGGCGTTACACTCGCTCCAGATCCCATTCACATAGGAGACGCTCACGAAGCAGATCATATACTCCAGAATATCGGCGTCGAAGGAGTCGTAGTCACTCTCCAATGTCTAACCGAAGAAGGCACACTGGCAGCAGAGTATGTACTGTAAGGCTAGAAAACAATTATTCAATCCTTTTTCAAATGTTTGTCACTAATTTGTCTTGTGCTTAGATGCAACATCCTTAGATTCCAGGGCTTTGTGGTTAATAAGGGAAAAGAAACATTTGCATTTTCACTTTGCAGCTGTGTACTCCCCAGTGTTTTCCCAAGTAAAGAAAGGTGGGGATCAAGGACAGTATGTGTTGCTAGCCATACTGTATGCTCCTACACACACACATACATTGGAGCTTTGCTCTCTTTGATATATATATATATATCTATATCTATATCTATTTGATATATATATATATATAACAATCAACAATATTTACTTGCATTATCTGTATGGTCAACTTTGAAATTGAAATGTATTTATAAGACTTTCCATTAGTGACTTTTTAGACAGCTAGATTCAATTGGGCATTCTTTGGTTAGTGCCTCATGTAAGCCACAGCATGGGTATGTATTTAAAATGGTATTAAAATCCACCCTGTGTCCTTTAAGAAAAAAAAATGACATGAATTTGGTCATTTCATTTATCTGCTTTTGAGCTACTTAATGGAAACGGAAGGCACATCACATCTTTTACACTCTGTTCAATGAGCTTTAGTATACTTTGTGGGTGGCAGAATAAAGCAAGTATCCAGAGGGTTCCTCTGCAATTCCTATCTTTTGAACTAAGATACTGAGGGAATTAATCTGTTTGCTGAAAAAAGGATAATGTGCATTTCCAGACCGTATTTACAAAAGGCACTGTTCTATTCTAGTTGTCTACAACTAAATGATAATGCCTAATTTGACAGTATAAGACTAAACCATCATGATTTTGGTAGCATGCACCTTTTTCGTCTGATCAGTGGCAGAAATCCAGATGTAGCCAGTATATTTCCATCATTCCATATAATTAGCAAGTCAGCAGTAAGCTTAGGCAGTTTGTAGTTATTTCCACCACTGCAGATGACCCCTGCCATATCCTCAGTTCTCTGTAGGAAGGATTTCTGGATCCTCTCTTTTCTAGTTGCTAAGTGGATTAATTGGAGGAGTAGACAAATGGATGTATTTCCATCTTATTTCTCTATTACTGAAAAGAAACAATTGGAATGTGCTCCATCTGGGAAAATGTAGGTTTCTTTACAGCTGATGGTGTTCTAGATATTGTGTGAAATTTTGACTTGGTTTATTTTTCAGGCTAATCCAGATCCTAATACATGTCTTGGAGTCTTTGGCCTCAGTTTGTATACAACAGAGAGAGATCTTCGTGAAGTCTTCTCCCGCTATGGACCTTTGAGTGGTGTCAACGTGGTGTATGATCAACGGACTGGGCGATCAAGAGGATTTGCTTTTGTTTACTTTGAAAGAATTGATGATTCTAAAGAGGTAAAATGCTTCTACGTTTTTCTGAATAAATTCAAATTTTGGTTAAACCATGTATCAAAAGTGAAACTTTTTCATAGTTTTAAGGATTTAAAGTGTAGAGATCCTCTTACCATTTGCATGCAATCCTCTCTTTTCAAGTTGGTACAAAAGGAATTTTTTCTTTACCCAGCATGTTGTTAGTCTGTGGAACTCCTTGCCACAAGATGTGGTGATGGGATCTGGCCTGGATGCCTTTAAAATGATGATTGGATAGATCTTTGGAGGAAAAGTCTAGATACCTGTCTCCTGATACCATCCCCTGCATCACAGGTTACAAACCACAATGGAGATGTATACTCTCCAGTCTTCAAAGGAAGGTACCTCAAAATGCCAGATGCGGGGAATGGTATCAGGAGACAGGTATCTAGTTGTTTTGTGTGCTCCCAGAGGCATCTGGTTGGGCCACTGTGAGATACAGGAAGCTGGACTTGATGGGCTCTTGGTCTGATCCAGCAGGGCTCTTCTTGTGTTCTTACATAGGTAACAAATATGACCCTTTCTGCTATCACTACGTAGCCACTTACATATGAACACAAAACTGGTTAATATTGGCTGTGGTTTATTGAAATTGTTACAGTCCATATGAGGCTGATAACTGCTGAAATGCAAAGGATGAAGATGTAGGAGTGCTTTACGGATTAGTCAAATAGTGAATTGATTAAATTATTCTTTAGTTATTTTAATTTAAAATGGTATTTAGAATGTGTCTCCTTGGAGGTGATTTGAAAGATTGTTAAAATGAGAAGATCTTTTAAGAAATATCAGTTGGAAATAGATTTGTGTTTTTCCCCCCACTTCTGCAATTGAGCTGAACTGTGAGATAGCCAGGTACAGTATTTGGATTAGCCAAATTAGGATTTTAACTCTGAATAGGGTGAGACTTGGGTGAAAGGGCAGGAGAACGTTAGATGAGACATAGCGTATTATATAATATATATTGGCATAATGTAAAATATGCATTGAGTCATGTCAGAGCTGAACTTGCTGTTTGCTTTGGATACCAAGAAGAGAGGAAGTGGATCACATTAGAAAACTTACTGGCTGTGTTCACATCCAATGCTGAACTGTGATTAAGCATTATGAGAATGAGCAACAGTTTGCTTTGTGCTGGCAAGATACCACTTTTTGTTCTGGAAGCCTCAGTTTCAGATTAACTGATTTATGATATGTAAGTCTGGACAAGCTATGATTAATTTCAGATATGCTTTGTTGAAAATTAAAGTACACAAGGTATTTTATTTTAGCAAATTAAAGGTTAACTACAACTCAAATACAAGCTGTAATAAGTTTAACATGAAAGGAAAAATGCAAAGTCATTGTCATGATGGTGCCAGAGCTAAACATGGGTGAAAAGAGTGCATGATGGTGCCTAACTGTGGCTTGTTCTTGTAACACTAGGACAGCCTTCCTTAACCTGATGCCATCCAGATATGTTAAACATACCACTTGGGGATGATGACAGTTAAGGTGGGGCACACAAAAAGCTTGGGAAGACTTTGCTTAGCTATGGCTTAGTGTTGTGTGAATGCAGCCATTAAATATCAGCTAAATATGCAATGAAAAAGGGAAAATTAGCCTGAAACACTTCGGAATAACATTGGTCCATTTGAGATCTAAATTTTGATTCATAGTACAGTGGTGCCTCGCAAGACGAAATTAATCCATTCCACGGATAATGCCATCCAGCAAAAATTTCGTCCTGCGAAGCACATTTTCCCATAAGAATACATTGAAAATTAATTAATGTGTTCCTATGGGGAAAAAAGTCAGAAACAAAAAAATATTAAAATAAAGTCACTTACCAGGTACTGTAGACTGAGCCTGGCTCCTCACAGTGCCTTGGTAGCCCCCGAAAAGCCGGAAAATGAGCGCCAAACAGCTGAGAGCCCGGACCCAGCAGGGAGGCGGCAGCCATTTTGTGCTCTTCTTCACTCCTGCCCCGCCTCACAGCTGATCTGTACTGAGTCTTAGGCTTCCCCGGGCTAGGCAGGGAAAAAGAGCTGGAAATAAAAAAATGGTGCTTTCCCCGGGGAAGCCTCTGAAAGCAGTGCTTTGCCGTAGGGGGGACCTCTGAAAGCGGTGCTGGGTGGGGGGGTGGCGGGCCTGCCCCCCTGGCAAAGCGCCACTTTCAGAAGCCTCCCGGGGCTTTGTCTTGCGAAGCAGGGCCATAGGAACATTCATCTTGCGAGGCACCAAAACCCTAGCCAGACCCATTTGTCTAGCGGGTTTTTCATGCCGCGAGGCGTTCGTCTTGTGAGGCACCACTGTACACTGTTCCTTGAATCTGTAATTCTTATGAAGAATGTTTGGTTAAGAGCTTTTAGGTACAGAAACAGGCACGGCACATCTCAAAACTGATCTCGTCACTGTTTTTATATGCTTGGCTACTAGTCAGTTAGAAAAAAAGAAGTACTGTATCTCAAAAATGATGTTTTGAGGCTGGCTTTTTAAAAACTGCTGATCTGTCTTGTCAGTCTGATTTCTGAAACTACTTTATACTTTCTCCCTTCCAGTACTCAGAATTTATGTGGAGCCATCAGAGAAAATCTCAAATATGATTGTAATAAGTTGTCTTTTTGTTATATCTTTGCTAAATACTGTTTTCTAAGTGGTTTTAGAGTAATGATATATTGAGAGGCTGTGATGCTTTGTTTTCAGTATTTCAGGTTTTTCTTGAAACCTTGACTCTGGAGGGATATAATTCTTTTGGCTACATTTCTGTAATAACAAGGTCACTAGGTGGCGATGTAGCCTACAGTTAATCTGATTCAAAGTTATACTAAATAAGGGCGTGCTATCATTGTTATTAAATAAGGATTGTTTAGGTTTGATTGCAGTTAATTTGTATGTAAACAGTGACCATATGGAACTAACATTTGTCCTGTCGATTGGCTTAAGTCCTAAGTTTAGGGG